CACTGCACTCCCTGGCCACAGCAGAGAGCTGGCCTGGAAGAGGGGCAACCGGGACAGAATCCGGCGCCCCGACCGGGACTAGAACCCGGTATGCCGGCACCGCAAGGCGGAGGATTAGCCTAGTGAGCCGCGGTGCCGGCCCAGGTCTGATATCTTAGTATGAATGCATCTGTGGACTAGGAATGGGTGTGATGTTCCAGAGCAGGGACGTTATTTGACCTGTAGGCTATAGTTTGCTGATCCCTGATTTAGAACATTGATAGCTAGCTGTGCTGATTATTAGTAGATCCTTCCTTCCATCTCTTCTCTGGGAGGAGTGTATTTCTCAGCTATGCTACCTTTGGACTTGGCCTTGGGACATGCTTTGGTCTGTTTAATATGAACATGCATGATCTGTACACAGATTTTAAATGTGTGTATGTGGGCCATAATGTCTCCCAAGTTTTTTGCCATTTGCCTTGAGAAGAAAATATCAGGGTCTCCCTGGTCCAAGAAGAGTGATGATCAGATCTCGACCCACCAGTTTGATGCCAGGCTCTCCATCTGTGGCCTGAAGCAGAGTTGCTCTGGGTCCAGCCTATACCACATGAACTTCAGACAGTGTGCTGACCTATGAGCTTGAGAATAAATGCTGTTTGCCTTAGCCATTGAGTGTTGGGTAGTTTGTTAATGGAGCATAATTGTAGAAATAGTTGTCTGACACTATAATACAGTACAAGATGATTATATTGATGTGAAGCAATTAAGATATTAACCTCTTTTTCAAAAGCCAAAGAAACCAAAGAGGAGTCTCATCTCCTCACATAAATGTTTCTTTTTTTATATAATTCTCCACCTCCCTGTGATTTCCCCCACAGTTGGAATAAACCCTAACTTGTAAACTTAGCTTCCTGTGTATACAGTTAATCAGTATTTAACACCATCTTTCTTCAGCCAACCCTGGAGAGGATCTCAGTGCCAAGGAATGAATATTTAATATTTCTGAAATGATGACTGGGAAGATAGCCAGTTCTTCCACAGAACAATTAGCTGTAGTCTCCTCAATGCAGCAGAGGTTTTGAAAGCTGCTATGCGCCAGTCTCTGTGCTGGATACTAGGTGGAAGCCATTCCATTGATATTTGATATTCTGTTGTCGGCCATGGACTGTGCTAGTCCCTGGTCAAATCCAGGGCCTTCAAGCATCCCAACTAGTGGGAGAGGCAACCAAGTAAATGGATAATTAAGGTCCAGCATGGTGAGCAATACTATAAGTGGCACAGCCCCAGTGTTGGGGGAGTGTGGAGGAGATACATTTGACCATGGCTGTGGATTGGAATGTGGGGAGTGGTCCTAAAAGAACTGACACTTGGACTGCATTTGTCTGAAAGGCACAGTTATGATGAAATCAGGTAGTCATAAAGTCAAAAGGCACTTTAGGAATGGCCCTTCTCTTCACATGTTTAAAGGAAGTTCTTTCCCTTAGTGACAGAGTCATGTGGTTCAAGAATCTAGGATGCAGCTACACACCAGAAATTCATCACTTTATTGTACTTAAGTCATCCTAATCTACAAAAAGTCCATGACACATTTTATGTACATTCGTAGATTCCCTTGGCAAAGCCTCAGGAACCTTCTAAACTCTGGCTTATTGAGCAGGCAGCTCTCCTCCAGTCGAGTTCCACCAGCCAGGCTGGCCAGCGCCACATCCAGAGTTGCTGGGTCTTCTCTCCAGACTTGAACAATCTGCCGTACCCAGGAATGTGCAGTCTGGCTTCGGGAGAGGCCTCCTCAGCCAGATGCACCTACCAGACATGCAGTGGAGCTAACCAACTCTCAGAAGAAAATTGACTAATGGAACCAGGCAGAGTGACAGAGCTGGGTAGAGTGCCCCTCTGCTCTGTCCTCCAAGACTGCAAGACCCAGCATCTCTGGTGGACATCTCTGGAGATGTACACCTGGTGGAGCAGACACACCCACCACTGACTCATTGCATCATGGCTCATAAAGCAGCCAGTGCAATGCTTCTCCTTATAGGAACTCAGACTAAAACATTCTACAGGTGTATCTTTTAGATGAAACTTATCTGCAACATAATCACATACCCTTGTAATTAGATGATATCTTTAATTCAAGTCTGTCACTGTGAAATGAGTCATACAATGAAAAAAAAATCCAGTCTTATTTTAAGGGCTAATAATGCAGAAATCAAGAGTTTCCTGCAGAACTTGGATTTGCCAATGTGTCTTAGTATTTTTAGCCATTATTTCCTAAAGTTTCCAGTTCACAGTCTACTTTATGGGAATAGAAAAGATTCCTGAATGCTTACCAATCCCCCAAAGAAACCATCATTTAGGAGTATAAAAGTAAAGGAAGCTCTCTCTCCCTTTTATGATTTCCCACTTTCCCAGAGAAAGATCAATTTGATTAGAGTCATACTGCTCAGATCCTTTAATGATTTAGGTAATTTTGTTATTGGAGCTAGTAGAAGCATCTATAAATGGTAACTAATTAGCAGTTACACACATACATCTGAAAAATAATATAAGGATTCTCATTTCTCAAGTCATATGCATACTGTTATATAATGTCATTTTTCATTTTGAAACACCAAGTCTCAGATTTCTGGGGTTAGTGTTTGCTTTGCTATTGTTTCTTACTTATACAGAGTGGATTATGGAAGGAGGAAATAGCGAGACTAAGACAATGATCTAAATGACCTTAAAAGTTATTTTCCTGGGGCCAGCGGTGTTTTGTGGCAGGTGGGGCCACTGCCTGCTGTGCCAACATCTCATATAGGCACCAGTTCAAGTTCCTGCTGCTCCACTTCTGGTCCAGCTCTCTGCTGTGGCCTGGGAAAGCAGAAGATGGCCCAAGTCTTTGGGCCCCTGTACTCACATGGGACACCCAGAAGAAGCTCCTGGTTCCTGGTTTCGGATTACCACAGCTTCAGCCATTGTGGCCATCTAGGGAGTGAACCAGCGATGGAAGACCCCTCTCTCTCTCTGCTTCTGCCTCTCTGTAACTTTGCCTTTGAAATAAATAAATAAATCTTTTTTAAAAAAATTATTTTCCTCCTACAAACAATTTCAGTTTGAATTTCTGGCTTTTCTGTACAGTTAAATTAATTTAAGAATTTCAGGAGCCAGCGTTGTAGTGTGGCGGGTAAGGTCACCGCCTGTGACAATGGTATCTCATATGTTAGCCAGTTTGAGTCCCAGCTGCTCATTTCTGATCCAGCTCCTACTTATGGCCTAGAAAGCAGCAGAAGGTGGCCCAGGTGCTGGGGCCCCTGTACCCATGTGGGAGACCCAGACAAAATTCCTGCTCCTGGCTTCAGCTTGGCTCAGCTCTGGCCATTGTAGCCATCGGGGGAGTGAACAAGCAGATGGAAGACCTCTCCCTGTCTCTCTCTAACTGACTTTCAAATAAATAAATAAGCCTTTTTAATAAAGAATTTCAATTTATTTTTTATATACAGTTACTAATTATTAGATTGGCTTAAGAATTATCTGGGTTGCTTTTTCTTAATATAGAATGTAGCATTGCAAAAATATGTCTCTATTCACTCAGGTTGAGTTTTAGAGAATGTCTCAGTTGTCTTGTTAAGCTTCAAAATGTGTTTTCCATCACAGAAAATGTATTTTCATTTACTTTTACATACTATTCCAGAATTCATGTAGGTGTGTAGAATTCCAAATTTTTCACAAGTCAGTGCACGACTGAAGCTACTACGTGTGCCAGTAGATTATCTGTGAGTGAATACAGCCATGTTACCACTGCTCAGGTCAGCAATGGAGCGGTCTGACCCCCACTGTTGCCCTCTAATCTCCATCCTTCCCTCTTCCTCAGAGATGACCGCTGGACCTCTGATGTCATATGTCAGCTTTTGCTTTGAAGGTCCATAGTTTAATTTCCTTTAGTTTATACTAAAAATTAATGTCTCTGAAAAGTGGCAAGTCTTCTTACTACCACTCTGTATAAAAGTGTGGAAAGGACAGAAACCAGGGTCAGGTCTAAGGCGTCAAAGTTCTGAACAGTGGATAGGATCGATGAGACCATGTTGCTTGGGGAAACCTCTGCAGTCTGTTTAACCTACCATGAGATTACTCTTCTCTATATGGGCATCGCTAGCCGTTGTGACAGAAAGGTGAGCATGGTGAGGCATGCCCTGGTTCTAAAGACTTGCGGACGTAAGTGTCACCCTACTTCCTGCCTGCATTCATGGCCAGAGAAGACGCATGAGGTAAGTAGAGCCAGGGTGTGTAATGCTCCTTCCGGGAGGGGTCCTGCAGGAAGGGACGCTGGAATCTTTGGTCCACAGTCATGCCATTCTCCACACTTTCTGTTTAGGGACTCTGCCCTCCGGTGAAGAGATCAGATCACTTAGATTACTCATCTGTCACTTTATTATAGAAGCGCTTCCTGGACTTGGGGGAACTTGCGCTTCTCTGTAGGGCTGTAACTTCCGTAATTATCAGTTGGGTGGCTGCATGGTGTTGAACTTTTTGGTGTGTGCACACTTCTTTTCCAAGAAGAAGCCCATAACCATCCTTGTCATTAAATGATGGGGAAATGCTAAATTCAGTGTACTGGGTATTTTTGGTAGAAAGCTATTCCTCATTAGGAAACGAGTTTTTTATAGCTAATTGATATGTTCTGGGAAAGTGGTCAGTAAATATTTTCCTAGTCCGTGGGTAATAACACTTACAGGATTGTGGAGGCTTTCCTCCAACTCGCCTGGCTCATTTGCCAAGAGGCCTGGTCCACATTATCATGAAGATCTTCCAGTTGTCGTTAACGTCTTGTCTTCATCCTTTCCACAACAGCTACTTTGTCGTATTGATGGGTAACATTGAGTGATGCTTCTCATTTCGCTCTCTGTTTATGTCTTCCTCGAGAAGTGAATGTCTTCAGTCAGGACACTGTTACTCCATTAGAGAAGTAGCCTCATGGCACTGAGGTAGCAGGGCTGTGTTAGGTGAACTTGGATTTAACATGGCATCTCTTTTCTTTTCCTAAGGTCTCCTGTCTCTAGGGATGGTGAAGTTGGACAGAGGCTCCCTTAACCCTCCTCCGGGATGAACCACCTGCCAGGAAACATGGAGAACACTCTCTCTGGGAGCCAGAGCTCCCATGCCTCTCTGCGTGATGTCCACTCTATCAACCCCACGCAACTCATGGCCAGGATCGAGTCCTATGAAGGAAGGGAAAAGAAAGGCATATCTGACGTCAGGAGGACTTTCTGTTTGTTTGTCACCTTTGACCTCTTATTTGTAACATTACTGTGGATAATAGAGTTAAATGTAAGTAGGTATTATCTTTCTTTTTTCATGGCTTTGTAAGAAGTATTTCCAGATTAAAAAACTATATTCTTAATTCTCTTATCACTTCTGTCTTTTTGAGTGAGCGCCAGCTCTTTCCAAATGAGGCAGCCTTGCTCTTCCCTAGCTAATTTGGGCCTTCTTCTTCTTTAATGGGTACCATTTGAAACAAACCAGGTAACCTGAAAACTCACTTTGGAATTTTGAAATTTGAATCCCTGGTCTTTCGCTCTGTAAGAGGAGTTTCAAAAACTCCAGGCCGTGGGACCACTTGAGTTGACCAGTTTTAATAAAGTTTTGTTGGAACACAGCCATGCCCGTCTGTTTACATATTGTCTACGGCTGGCTTTTGTGCTAAGTAGTTTGAGCTCAGTAGTTATGACCGAGACCGTCTGGCCCACAAAGGCAAAAATATCTATTCCCCAGCCCATTCCAGAAAGTTTGCCAACCCATGCTCCAAAAAAATAGAATGCTTCTGGAATATGATCTAAATGTTACATCGACTTTACTATCTTGAAAAGGGATTACTTACTCCTATTTTATAAAAAACATTGTCCTAGAGGCATTTGGGAGTTAATACAGTTTTATTGTCAAGTAATTGTCTAGACCAGTACTATCTAGTAGAAATATAATGCAAAATATAAAGTGTGTAATTTAAAATTTTCTAGTTGCCGTGTTAATTAAAATAAAGATAAATAGGTAAAATACATTTTAATAATACATTTTATATAGCTCGATATATCTGTTTTCTTCCAAAGCCTTGAGTCTTGTATACCAAAAGATAGGGGACCTCTCAGAAGTTCTCCTCACATGCAAAAGTTGTCTGCTACCTTCATTTTTAGCAGTTCATTTATGTGAGGGCTGAGACCTGGGTAGTAAAATGATGATGACTTTGTTTCTAGTAAGAGGCTGTTCTTTCCTAGGCACAATGCTAGATGCTTTTGTAAGGATTTGTTAAAGTAGGGAAAATTTTAAAAGATGGTACAATTCCTATTGAAAATGATTTTGAATTTGGCCGCTTAACAGGAATCAACATCTTAATCTAAATTCTGAATAATTTTCTAATTCATGATAAAATTTCAATTCTAGACTGTAGTCTCAATAATTAAGGCCATTGAAACTCATTTAATTTCATCATGAATCCTAATCAAGGAACAAAACTCATTAGTGAAAGCAGACACATATATTAGAAAATTAAGGTTTGTCTCAGAATCTCAGTGACATGCAGCTTGAGTCATTTATGAAATTAGGCTTCCACTTATAGATTTTCCTTTAATTAATTTGGCATTATGGGTATACCTTAGTTTTGTTTATAACCAGACCAGTCACTGACGTGAACAGTAACACAGAGTGTCCCCTTTTACTCCTTGTACTTTATGTGTACATCGGAGAACACACTTAAGTTGATGTCTATTTAAAGGAGTAAGATATTTTCAAATTAACAGAGATGAGGAAATGCATCTTTTCACAGGAAAGCATAGCAGCAGTTTTAAGGGGACACACTTAAAAAATGTTTTGACATCAGCAAAAGTCAAGGCCTTTGTTGCTTTGCCAGTAATAATCACTGTGTGCCTTTAAGTGGGGAAAGCCAGGAGGTGAGGTCCTCAGCATCAGACTCCTCTTCCCTTCTTCCTTTCTCCTGTAAGGAAATGGAGTGGAGATGTCAGGGCCTCTCCTTGTCTACCTCTGTGAGGCCAATTTCCCAGGTTGGACCTGGAATTAAGCATGGCCTGGGTTCCCTGAGGATGCTGTCCCCTCGCCAGACTGTTGTCCCCATACTTGAGACATATATAATTGGTTATATGAGTGTCAGGAGAGGGACACTGCTTTGTTTTTTCAACTTTTGACACATTGAAGGAGACTGTGGTTCCAAGAAGGCCTTTTGCCAATGCCTATTGCCTTTTCTCTTATTATTTTCTAACTAATGTACTAGAAAGAGTAAGAATGCTTCTAATTTGACCTGCAGCTGTTTTGACCAGCTCTGTGGTTCTAGGCAATCAGGTTGAGTTCTCTGGCCTTGGTTCAGTTCACTGAACTAAAATCTGTCTTGTCTACCTCTTAAGTTCATGTGAGAATCAAATGGAAAGACATATACAACATCCCCTTAGCAGTTACAAAGCTCTGCATACCTACAGGTTATCTTATGGATTATTAACTGAAGTAAATTTAATGTAGAAAGAAAAACTTTAATTAGTGTTCTCTCACTATTGTAATATTTAAGTTTCACGTACTTACTACCCATTGATTCTGATTCCATTTCCTCAGTGTCACTGGGTTCCGTAGTTCAACTGTGATGACCAGGGATAGCAGAGAGTGAGTTGAGAGGGAGATCAGTGGCCTGGAAGTACTTGAGCGTGGGAGTAGAGGAGCTGCATTGTGAACTGATTTTAGAAGGAACAGGTAATGGCACTTGGAATGGAGGCATGATCTGGGTTGGGTTATAGAAGCACACAGGGTAGGGTTTGAAGGTCAAGGTGAGCAGAAGCACTGAGGCAGTGCTTATGCATGGGGCTTCTGTGGCTGTGTGTGCACCTGTGTGTGTGTGTTGGGGAAAGGGTGTGTTTGTATGCCTGTACTGCAAGGAACAGGCGCAGAGGCAATGAAAATATTAGACTGGCTGGAAATTAAGGTGCCTGTAGGAGATGAAATTGTATAGGTAAGCTAGTACTAGATTCTTAAAATCCTTAAATGGTATATTGAAGGATTTGGAATTTTGGAAAACATCTTTAAGATCTTGAAGTCAATGCCTCACAGCCTGCATCCTGGCCAGCCTACTTGACACTTCCAATTGGATGCCAAGCTTAATGTGCTCTTCCCAGCACGTACACAAACACCAGCTTTCCCTGTCTTCCTGAACAAACCTGATGCTGAGACCAAAAATAAAGACTTATCTTGGTTGGTTTGCTTGTTCCTTTTGTGTTGTTCATGCCTCCTATCCAGTCTAAAAGTAAGTCCTGTCAAATCTACCTCTAAAATGTGATTCATAGTATAGCCACTTCTCTTCCTTTTTACTAATGCCATTCTCAACCAAGCCAGCATAATCCTTCATCTAGACGCCAACATCATGTTCCTGACTAGTTTACTGACTTCCACTCTTCCCTCCTGTGATCCATTCTTCTTCTTCTTTTTTTAAAGATTTATTTATTTATTTGAGAGGCAGATTTACAGATAGGTAGAGGCAGAGGCAGAGAAAGAGAGGTCTTCTCTCTGCTAGTTCACTCCCCAGATGGCTGCAATGGCCGGAGCTGGGTCTCTCTGAAGCCAGGAGCCAGGAGCTTCTTCCAGGTCTCCCATGTGGTGCAGAAGCTCAAGCATTTGGGCCATCTTCCAACTGCTTTCCTAGGCCATAGCAGAGAGCTGGATTGGAAGTGGAACAGCCGGAACTCGAACTGGTGCCCAGATGGGATGCCGGCACTGCCTACCTGCTACGCCCCAGCGCCAGCCCCTTCAATCCTTTCTTATAGTAGCCAGAGCAACCTTTTAAAGCAAGTCAGGCAGCATCACTCACTTTCTGTTAAAACTTCACTGGCTTATAAAGCCCCCAGAGACCCCTGCAGACCACCTCTTCACCCCCTGTTCCAGGCTTATCAATCATCAGCCATACTTGTTTCCCATTCTTAGACTGAAACAGGCCTTTTATGTCTTGGGAGCTTTATATTGATGGTGCCCTCTGAATGAAATGGTTCATTTCTTTTATCTTTTTGTAGATTCTGACTGTTCATTATGTTGATATTAGTTTAAAACTTCCTATTATTCACTCATGGTGTCTTGCTTCTTTTCTCTATGTAACTCTTCTTATATACCATCCTGATCTTGCCGGGATGTAAATTCACGAAGACAATGTTTTGTTCACTGAAGCATTTCCTGTATTTTGAACAATGTCTGGATTTACTAGGTGCTTAGCAAATATTTGGTAAAAGGATATGATCTTAATGGTAGTTGGGTACAGGCTGGATAAAATAAGAACAGATTATCAGTAAATGCTATGTCAAAAACTGTTGAAGGGATGCCATGAAATGTAATAGGGACAGAGAGGAAAGAGCCAACCTAAGAGGCACACTAAAGAAAGAGCTATCAGAAGACTTGCCAGTGGGCAGGTGTTAACCCCAGTATCCAGTGAAGACTCCAGGGTGTCTAATGATGGGACCTGGAAGAGTAGTAGCAGAAGGAACTGTGATTGGGAAGGAATTTTGTGTGAAACTAAAGATAATCTACTTAAGACATCTTGAATTGGAGAAATAGATTATGATAAAGGATTTAAAGTACAAGTTAGGGCCAGAAATGTAGATTTTAGTTATCTATATTTAAAGGCAAAGCAAAATCATGGTCTTTCAAAGTATGCAGATAAGGGCAAGCATTTGGGAAGCAAGTTAAGCCACCACTTGAGATGCTGCTTCCTTATCAGAGTGCCTGCCTTCCTGGCTCCACTCTTCCTGCCAGGATGCAGCTTTGAGAGGCAGCTACAATAGCCCAAGGAATTAGGTCCGTGCCACCTGTGGGGGAGACCCAGATTGTGTTCCTCCTGGAGATTCCACCTCCTGGCTTTGACCTGGCCCTGACAGGTTGCACACATTCGGAGAATGAATCAGCAGATAGGAGGCTCTGTCTGATTGTCTTTCTCTGTGCCTTTGAAATAAATAAATGTAAAAATCATAAAGTGGGAAGGTGCTAGAGAAAAAGCTTTCTCTGCTGGCAGAACTGTGTGGCAGCTTTGACTTGTGTTATCTCAGGCATGGGTATGGGGTCTGTTGGGTAGAGAGCCCCACCACTGCAGGCCACTGGAGTCGTTAGTCTTGTTGTACTCCAGGTATTGGTAAGTTGCCTTGGTCAGGAGAGAGATAATGATGAGACTAAATGGTTGGTTGGCTTTTTAGTAATGACTTCCCCCTGCCCTAGGTTTTCTGTTCTGTTCTTCTCTATGCATTTATAGCCAAGTCAGTCTGCAGCCGATCTGTGCTAATGACAGGGAAATCTGAATATCCTGAAAGAATTCTAAGGCACAGAATTATGTTTGTGGTATGCTGTTATTTGCATAGCAAAATTAAAATACATGGAAAGGCATCTAAGCCGAGCGTCATTTCCTTGTGACAGTATTTATTCTAACCTGATTGTTTGGCAGCCTTGCAGAAGCTCCGTTATGAATGTTTTCCCCCCAGTCTGTTCTCCAGTTCCTTGCCCTTCATTTTGCCATTGCATTCATTTACCAGGTCTGTGCTCCATATTGGAAACTTGAATTTGATGTGGCCTCTGGTCAGGCTGACCCCTTGGCCCTAAAAGAGGGCACCATCTGGGTGCTGCAGAAGCTGCCTGGTCTATGTTCTCTGGCTTGACTTTTCTAAGAAATATTATTCTCCATAGTTGAATTAGTGGTGTTTTGAACTTGATCATTTAAAGTTCATTTTAATGGTAAGTTAGGAAAGGGCAGAAGCTTTATCATATCAGTTTGATTCTCATCACTTGGTATAACTGTCATGTGGGATTAGTCTGTTCCTTATTGTGTTTTCCAGGTTAAAAAGTATATTTATATTCAAAATATATCACCTATCTATATATCTATAGATAGATATATCTACATTCTTAAGAGTGCAGAATTTTAAAATGCCAGAAGCAAAGAAAAACAAAGAATTTTACACCTCTGGCTGGTGTCAGTTTGGTAATAGCTGTTAGTGACATCTTCTATGATACCAGGGCAGCCTTGGCCTTCTAAGACCTAAAATGATCGCAGAACGTGAGGGACCCTGGATAGACATGACTTGCCTTATCTTCTTACATTTGTGTGACTGAAAACCTTATCTTATAAGTCCAAAAATAATTTTCTCACTTAACATTTTAGTTGTCCTACCAAAAAAAGTTTCTCATTATACATTTATATTTGTCAAATTAAAAAATTCACAGTTGAGAATGTGTCAGGGATTGGCAGCCCTTCTCTATTAAAATTATGGGTAGTCTGTTCTCTATTTCAGCATTTCTGGATTTTGGGAAATGGGCAGGAAAATGTAGAGGAATCGTTTTTTTTTGTTTTGTTTTTCACGCGTGAACCTCTCCTTGTGTTTGCTTCTTAGAAGTGCTGTCTTTCCTAGGTGAATGGAGGCATTGAGAACACGTTGGAGAAGGAGGTGGTGCAGTATGACTACTACTCTTCTTATTTTGATATATTTGTAAGTATGTTTTCTTTTACATTTCATTTTACATACGATGTAACTGAACCAAAAGACAAATTTCCTCTGCATAGACATCAAATTCTGTGCCAGTTTTTCCTCCCTTGAATGTTGACCTTGTTTTCTTTTCTCTTAATTTTCCACCCATTCACAGCCCTCTCCTTCTGGGTGTGTGTGTGTGTGTGTGTGTGTGTGTGTGTCTATCATTATCATCACCTCAAGGAAAGAAAAGATTAATGAGAGAGAAGGAAGGGCAGCAGAAAGAGTCTTTGTCTTTCCAAATTCCTGAAACAGAACCCACTGGTGTCCAACAGCAACGTGAAAATGCCAGTCATATTCTGCCTTGTTCTTTTCTTAGTAATGGAAAATTAATTTGAAACCTTATTTGAGTGAGACTATGAGGGCCCTTCAAAATGTTCATGGAAAAGAAGAATTAAAAGATTTATTTTGGTATAAAAAATCTTGAAATCCATGAATAATTCTTTTTCATAAAATGCATTTCCATGAACTTTTTGAGGACCTTTCATACTTTTGCTCCTGGGGCAAAGATTCCCAAGAGCTGATCTGCATACCAGTGCCAGTCTGGGGGGGCTGCAGCTAACTCAGAAAAATGATAGTCTCATGAGTTCTTACAAAGCTAAATTACTTAATTTTTATATGCATTTTAAATAACGTTATTTTGTCTTTTTTCAGCTTTTGGCAGTTTTCCGATTTAAAGTGTTAATACTTGCATATGCTGTGTGCAGACTGCGCCACTGGTGGGCAATTGCGGTGAGTGCACCCTGCGCGAGTGACCATCCTGCCAGTGCTGGTGACCAGGGCCTGCTCGGAGCTGGGGAAGTTGTCGAGTTAACCTGGTGGGAGCCCACCCTCTTCCTGAGTCCTGTCCTCTGCATGGCAGTAGACTGACACTGCAGGGCTTCTGTCCAGCACCGCTGAGTCACTAGCTTTGTCTTCCTGGGGCTGAGCCGCATGAGGAATCCAGAGATCCGAGAGCGGTTACCGGCCGAGCAGCAGGCGCCCGCTCCCGCATGTTTCACCAGTACCTCTGTCGCAGAGATATTTGGGAAGTCTCGTGTTCGGCTGAATCTGCCTGGTGGTTTCATGGCCCATCTTGCTGATTGCCTTCCCCTGTTTCATTGCCCCTCCGCCCATTCCCGAGGGAAAAGCCGCCATGCTCCCTTCTGTTGTTGCCTTCAAACACCTTGAACCTCGGTTTCCTTGCACAGCTCTGACACATCCTGTTCCTCCTCAATAAATATTTAGAGGGAAAGAAGAATTCACAGGCAATTCTGCCTGAGTTATTTTTGTCATTTCCACAGATGTCTTAACATTCACCTTTTTTAGAGCTCTAATAAGGCAGATGTATTAGTGGAGGAAATACTGAACTCCTCAGACTGCAGACCTGCTCAGGAATTACCCCAAGTCCTGCAATTAGAATCCTCAGTCTCCATGTGCTGGGCATGGGAGCTGTGTTGCTGCCCTAAGACTGTGACCACCAGGGGGCCACCTCTGCTGAGCAGTCAGCAACGCAGGCCTGAGGTCAGAGAATCTGTTCATCCGAAAGTCTGTTCACAGATATAAGCTGGCAGCCTTGGCCAGAGTTGACTCCCTTTCCTGTATACTACTGCTGATATCAAAATAGCTGTGAGCACTGCACCTTCCAACTTTCCTACAATGCTCTGTATTTAGGACGTTTTGTTCTTCTTTATATATACTAGTATTTGTCCCACCATCTGGGTCAGTGTTTCCTTTAAAACAGTGGCAGACGTCTAGATATGTAGTGAGAGTTCTAAAAAAGTATCTTTAGTATCTGCTTTCAAGTTGTCTGAAGGATAGCTCCCATTTAGCAAACTCATTTTATTGTTTCTCATTCTTGGTTTTAAAAACATTTGCGGAGAGTGTCCAGGCAGCTGGAAGGGAGGAAGTCAGCAGGCGCCTAAAGAACACTTGGTCCCAGTCTGCAAAGTTAGCGCTGGAATGTAAAAGGCCTCCTGGGCTCCTCTCACCCTGGCTGTGTGTGTGTGTGTGTGCGTGTGTGTGCGTGTGTGTGTGTGTGTGTGTGTGTGTCTGTGTTGCAACTTCATGAATACCTATGCTACTTGATGTTCCAAGGGAACAGGGCTCTTATGTGAAAGAGGTGCCTTTTCAGTGTGGGAAATCTAATTTGGATGGTGCTGGATTATGTGTCTTTCAGTTGACGACAGCAGTGACCAGTGCCTTTTTATTAGCAAAAGTGATCCTCTCGAAGGTAAGGCCTGCCGCTTTTCCTGCACCATTGCCGCGCGCAGTGGGGAAACTTGTTGCCCAGTGTGCGTCCCTGGTTACCCCACTTCCCTCTCCTGGTCACATCTGTTCTTGCAGCTTTTCTCTCAAGGGGCGTTCGGCTACGTGCTGCCCATTATTTCATTCATCCTTGCCTGGATCGAGACGTGGTTCCTGGATTTCAAAGTCTTACCTCAAGAAGCAGAAGAAGAAAGCAGTAAGTTTCTCTTTGAGACCAGCTGGGGCCCACCACTGGAAGGAGGAGTTGCGGCTGTCTGGGTGTGAACAGAGCTTGGTGGGAAGAGCTAGGCAGTCTCAGTGTCTCATTCTTAACTGACTCCAGCAGAAATCTGAGGGTAGGGTTGGGTGGGTGAAAGTTCAGGAACACGGTGGCTGCTCTTTCCAGCTGTAGACCAGGGTTGCCTGGAAGAAAGTGTGAATGCTGATGAAAAACACAACAAAAATTATCCAATGCCTTCTCCTCAACAAGTTAACCTTTCCCCCATTGATAATCATTGCAGGCCACTAAGTGTGTTGTCCATGTAAACCAAACTGTGCTGCTTAGGGGCAGAGAAAATTAAAACATATTTAGTGAGAGGAGATGGCAGTTTTAAATGCAGAGTTCGTCAAAGTCCCACGTTGCTACCCCCAAAGAGATGGTGGATTGCACCTGAGCCATCATTAAAACAGTCAAGTGCCCAGGTCTAGGACTATACTGCAGAAGATGGAGTCCAGAGGAGGAGGTTGCAAGCCAGAGCGATGCTCAGCCTCAGCCTTCTGCTGTCCTCCTCAGCGTAGCTGAGCGCTGGCTACCATAGGGCACTCCTGAGTCCTGCCAAAGCTGGTGTAACCCACCATGTGGCTTTGAGTAACCAGGAAGACCAGGATTAATTACTGGGCTGAGATGCTTCACTGTGTGTTGTCCTTAATTAATAGAAGCCCCTTACCCCCACCCCACCCCACCCTGCACAAAGCACAAAGGAAATTTCAGAAGTGCCATTTCTATGCCTCTGTCAGTCATCTGGCTTACTTTGCCCTATCTCATAGAAGAAAAAAAAAACTTAGAGAAAGTTAAGCATGATTATAATCTCAGTAAGCAGCAAAATAAGCAATAATTTTGCACATGATTTTATTTTGGAAAATCACATTTACAGAGAAGGAATCTGTAAGAAAAGAACTTTACATTCAAAAGTAGATTTAGAAAAAAGACTAAAAGACTAATCAGGTCAAGATATATTTACTGGCCTGTGCTTTCTGTTCCTTTGGAGAAAGAGTTTTTTGGCGAAAGTATTGGTAAAAGCTACTAGAAGTCTTGCTTTTATAACATATAATCATAAAAATAAACTTTATTGAAAGTGTAACAACACTATGAAGCTTAAATAGTTGCATGGTTAAATCAAATTCAAAGTATCTAATAAAGAAGAACAGGAAGTTAATGAAGATGTTAGGTAGTATTTGTTTTTGTTGTCACTAGTGTGTATTATGCATATGCCTGCTGTCTGCTGTTGGCCTGGTGTTTCTTCCCCCTCTATCTTGACTAACTCAGCCTCAGCCAAAGGACTCAGAGTATTTGATCTTTCTCATCATGTGGTAGTGTTCTTGAGGTATTATTAATTCTGTGCCTCCTTCTCTTTTCTTTGTTTAATACTCTTACTTGGTGACTTGTTGCATAAATATATCTTCACTGTCTTAATTACTCCTTATTTAGAAGAGGCCATCTATGCACTTCACTTTACCTCTAGCTTTTCTCTAACCAAATGCAGATGACATATCATTTGTATGAGCTGACTGGGTGGTTTGTTTCAGTTTCAGTTAGGATAATATTGGTGACTTTTGCAAGGAAGTAGATATCCCCAAGAGAAAGATACTGTAAATACTGATTTAATACCATGAGTACCAGGAGATCGTTTTTTAAAACTATGTGGTGGTGTGGGTACCCAGTTTATTAATGAGACCTTTATTCTTCGATTGAGAGATTTTCAACGTACCTGTTTTTTCTAGGAGGCTTTTAATGTAGCAATGTTACCATTATGTGGTAGTCAGTCTCGTCGAGAAGCTGCCGGAAATGTCGTCCCCAGCGTCTGAATGCTTTCTCTTGCAGGACTCCTGATAGTTCAGGATGCTTCAGAGAGGGCAGCCCTCATTCCCGGAGGTCTTTCTGATGGTCAGTTTTACTCCCCTCCTGAATCTGAAGCAGGTAAAAAAACTCGATGATCATTTGTATTTTTGTCCATCATCAAACACTCTGCCTCCTTCCCTCTTCCTACCTACTCTTTTTCTCCATAAATTTTGCAAATATTTAACCTACCAGGTATTAAGGATATGAAAAAGAGGAAGACATAGACTTCCCTGAGACCAGTGTCAAGGCACACAGATATGAAAGTGAGTGTAAGAGAGGGGCATGGGCACTGTGACTAGTGGTCTGCATCTCATAAGACAGGCAGACAAGGGGCAGGGGACTTCCTCTATTACCTTTCATCCCTCAACAGCCTTGCGCTAGGATTCTCCAGGTCAGGAGTGCAGCCCCACTTGCTCAAGTCAGAGCCACTGTGCAGACCCACCCCTATTTTATGGCTCATAACCCATCATTCACAGAGCTGTTTTGAATTTCGGTTCTTTTGTTTCTGCAGCCACTTTCTCATGCAAATCCCAGCACTTCCTGCCAGTACCAACCTTAATTCAGCAAGTCTTGCTTCAGTTTCTGCCATAACCTCTGTCTCTTTGCCTCCAGTTTCACCTTCTAACCAGCCACTACTAGCTCTGTTAAAAATAACAATTGCATGCAACAACCAACAAATAACGTGCTGAAAAAAAAATAGTCAAAGTTTTGAATAGACATTTCTCCCAAGAAAATATACAAATGGCCAGTAAACACATGAAAACATGTAGACACATCACTAATCATTAGGAAAATGCAAATTAAACCATCATGAGATACTAGTTCATACTCATTATGATGGCTGCTATTCAAAAAATATATATACAAAGTGTGATTCAGCATATGGAGCAGTTAGAACCCTTGTGGATTGCTGTGGGAATGTGAAATGGTAGTACCTACAGGAAACAGTATGATGTTCCCTCAGAAAATTAAACATAGAATTACCATGTAACTCATAATTTCACCTATGGGTACATCTCCCAAAGACATGAAGGCAGAAACCTGAATAGCTATTTGCATGCTCATAGTCATAGCAGCATTGCTCACAATAGCCAAAAGGTGGGAACAGCTCAGATGACCAGGAACAGATGAATAGATCACCAAATGTGATGTCCAGTGGAGCATTATTGGATCTTTAAAAAGAAGGAAATTTGGGCATTTGCTACAAGGTCATTATGCCAAGTAAAATAAGCCAGATACAAAAAAGACAGCTGTTGTGTGATTCCACTCTCAGGAGGAAGTCAGATTCACAGAGACAGAGTAGGATGGTGGCGGCCAGGAATGGAGGAAGTTCTGGAGATGGAGGGTGGTGATGGTCATACAACAGTATGGATAATTAATACCACTGAGTGATACACTTGAAAATAGTTAAAATGGTAAAGTTTTTGTTAAATGTGTTGCCACAATAAAAAATTATTTTAAAAGTTTCAAACACTATTTTGAGTGCTGAGTGCTATTCTAAGGGCTTTCCTAATATTCATTCATTTACTTTTTTTTTTTTTATCCTTCAAATCAGTTTCATTCATTTACTTCTAAATCTCTGTGGTGTAAAGCTCTTATGATAGACACGAGCAAATTGGATCACAGAGAATGAAGCAATTTGCCTAACTTCACACAGATAATAAGCGGTGGAGCTAAGATTTGGACCTGGAGCTCCAGTTGCTGGACTCCGTGCTCATAAGTAATGAAGTGCACCCCCCTCAGCATTTATGAAAAAGTGAAAGTGATCTTGTCAGTCCAGTGCTCAGCAGCCTTGGTGGCCTAAAGGCCTAAGAAATAAGCAGATCCTTGGCCTGGCAGGGAGGACCCCTGCGACTGCCCTCTCCCGTTGTCCGGCTTCCTACCTTGTGACTGCTTTCTGTGCTCTGCCCCTGGCCTTTCTGGAAATGCTGTGTGCCAAAGCAGTCAGGTCACTGTGTATCTTGCTGCTGCCTTTCCCTGAGATCCTGCTCCCCACTCCCGTGTCCCCAGGACTCCGACCCTCCCACCCTCCCACCCGTCATTCCTGGCAGCCTTGGGTTGGGTGTTCTCCTCAGCAGCACCCCGCAGTTTCTGTCACTGGGAGGTCGACTTGAGGTGGAGGCCTCAGGACTGTATTTCTAACATTGGGGATAGTAAATGCTTTGTAAACACACACGTACAAAAATAAGCAATAAGAAGACAGATTCCAAGCGCAGACAGCCGTGTGATTGATGGAGGATACAGTGGGATGGCACACTGGTGTACTGTAGGGAGTGGTGTTGGATCCAAAAGCAATGAAAAACACAAAACACAGAGCCAGATGCAACAGATACGGATTCGCAGTTTCTAAGACGCTGGAAACTAGAATTAAGTATTAAATTTTAAATTACCTCATTATAAGGATCATTTTGTTTAGATGCTCTGTGTTTTAAAATAAAAATTCATGCATTTCTATTTTTTCTAAGACTAATGCAATTTCTTGGGGCTCATATATTTTCCTAATTAGAAGTTTCTCTTGTCGGAATGCCTGGTTTGAGTCCCCACTGCTCTGCATTTCTGACCCGACTTCGTACTAGTGCACATCCTAGGAAGCAGAAGAGGGCCAAAGCACGTTGGTCCCTGCCACCCATGGGGGAGACTCAGAGTTCCTGGCTCCTAGCTTCAGCCTAGCCCAGTCCTGGCTGTTGTGGGCATCTGGGGAGTGAAGCAGCGCATGGAAGATCTCTTACACACTGTCTCTCTCTCTCCATCACTCTGCCTCTCAAATAAATAAGTAACTCTTGAAAGAAGTTCAGAGCAGCATCTCCTGAAACTTTCCAGTCTGGACCCCTTTCATGCTTGCTGGTGACTTTTACCACCACCTGGTGGGACTCTGGAGCATTGCTGAGGTTCAGAAATGAAGTAAGAATGTCACAAACACTCCCACGACGCTCTGCTTGGCAGCAGCCTTGTTAAAGCAAGATGCAGACTAATAGCAGGCACAGAGAGAGCATGCAAAATGGCTTGCTCTATTGTATTATATTTGCATCGACTGAATTTCAGTTTAGGAAAGAATTGAAATCAAGAACAGTCATTGGAGTTAACATGCCTGGAACAAGGACTCTGGAGCAGAGGTTTCCCATTATGGCAGCAGTTGAAAACTGAGCAGTCTTTGGGTAGCTTAAACTGTCAGCTGCTGTTGCCCTAACCCAGCACTGACTGCCCCCAGCAGAGTGAGGGCATCTGGAAGGCGTGCCTTGATTTTCCTGTCTTTTTTCCCAGCACCTCATCACTAGACCTAGCACATTGATTTATAACTGTTAGAGGAATGAGTGAAAAGAAGGAGGAAGTGGAGACACCATAATAAAAATGTTAGCATTATTTCTCGTAAAGGAAAGAAAATAAAGCTTGAATTTTAGTATCACAGAGATTTGTGAAGTTAGCACGTTGTAGTAAATGTACTGCTTTTAAAGGACACAAAAATGGTTTGCCTGCAGACGATTTTGCTGACATAACTGCATCCTGCATACCCGTGGATTAAGTGACATGGATGAGGAAGCACCATCCTCGCTCAGATGCCTGGACTGGAGTTGTTCTGTGTGGTTAGATGGATGAAGTGAACTGATTATGATGCCAAGGACAAGGCCATGGAAAATCTACCCTAAAGGGAGGGATAGACCAATTGCATGATAGAATCTGTTCTAAGCAAGTCTAGATAAGTGTTAAAATTGCAGTTTAACATCTCAGGAGTAATCATACATCCCAGTTGCTTGTAGCAGGCCTGACTTAATCCTGTGGCTCTGTGTAGTGACTATCAGATGCCCTGTCTGAAGTTTTAATTTTTTTGTAAAAGATCTGTTTATTTATTTGAAAGGCAGGGTGAGAGAGAAAGAGCTTCCAATAGCTGGTTTGCTCCATCTGAGAATTCTTTACCTTAAGTCAATATCATAAAGATTTTCTGCTATGCTTTCTTCTAGGAACTTCTGTATTTTACTTATTTCAATTAAGACTGTGGTCCATTTTGAATTAATTGTTGTATATGCGTTATCTTGCATTGGCTGTCCAGTTCTCTGAGCACCAGTTGTTGGAAAGGCAGCCTCTCCCCATGGAACTGAATTGGCATGTTTTGTCAGTTTTTGCTATTTCCTTTATTCTGCTTGGACTGCACTCAGATTGTTCTTCTTCATTATCTTAACATGGAAAATTAAAATTAAAAGATTGATTTGAGAGTATATTTTTTTCCGATACAGGCATTTAAAGCCATAAATTTTCCTCTGGGTTTGCATTAGTGACATTGCGTGGATCTGTCTTTCTTTCTTTCTTTCTTTCTTTCTTTCTTTCTTTCTTTCTTTTTTTTTTTTTTTACAGGCAGAGTGGTCAGTGAGAGAGAGAGAGAGAGACAGAGAGAAAGGTCTTCCTTTGCCGTTGGTTCACCCTCCAATGGCTGCCACGGCCGGTGCGCTGCGGCCAGCGCACCGCGCTGATCCGATGGCAGGAGCCAGGTACTTATCCTGGTCTCCCATGGGGTGCAGGGCCCAAGCACTTGAGCCATCCTCCACTGCACTCCCTGGCCACAGCAGAGAGCTGGCCTGGAAGAGGGGCAACCGGGACAGAATCTGGCGCCCCGACCGGGACTAGAACCCGGTGTGCCGGCGCCGGCCTGCCTGGGTTTTGATGGTTTCATTTTCATGCAGTTCTTAGCTGATCACTTTGTATACTAATGTCTCATCATTCTTTTTTTACATGTGTATATTAATATTTCTCAACAAATTTGGGGAAATCCGGCCATTTCTTTCTGACCTTTCCCTCCCTCCTGTCGGAGACTCCTGTTGCACGCGTGTTGAAGTGCTCGATCTTGCAGGGCTCCGAGCACTGTTCAGTGTCTCGTCAGCCTCTTTCCAGAGTGAATAATTTCAGTCAATCTAGCCTCAAATCCCCAGATTCTTCCTTCTGCCACCTTGAGACTTTTCTTCATCCCCTTCAATAAGTATTTCTTGACGTTAGTATGATTTTCTACTCGAGTGTTTTTTAAATTTCCATTCTTTTTTGTAATTTCTGCTTCCTTCTTGAAAATACCTATTTATTATTTTGTTTTTGTTATCTTTACCTTTAGTGCTTTAAGTTGGATTTATGTAGTTCCTTGTACATATTTATAATAGCTGTGCTGTTATTTTTGTCACTATATACACTATTTGAGAATACTCAGTTTATTTTTCCCTGGGAATGATCACCTTTGCTATTTGTTTATTTCTTTAGTAAATTGTGCTAAATCTGTGAGATCTGTATTTCCTGAGATGTGTGGTGGCTTCTGTCTTCTGTGTGTATGTGTATTGGTTTGTTTTGTTTTTTCTTTTATAAGTTCTGCTGTTTGTTTTAAGCTGAGCTTCTTAGGAATCACCCTGTGTCTGCAGAGCTTAGTGGGAGCCAGTAATGGGACAGAAGTTGTGCTAAAGCACCTGGATTAAGACTTCCATCCTCTGCCTGATGAATATGTCCAGTATATCAGGTGGCCTTTTCAAAGCCCAGATTCATATTCAGTCCTGCCAACCTTTACTTTGTGTTGAGACCTTTCTCACCCTCTTTGTATGTGCTCAGCTCAGGAGCACGGGCTCTCTTTGGTCTCCCCCATGCATGTGGCAGGCGCGTGCATGCTCCAGCAATGACCAGATCCTCAGGCAGCTGGAGGAGCTGGCCCTTCCTGCTTACCCTTCACCCTCAGTGCAGCTGGCCATGAATGTGGCTCCCAACTCCAAATGAACTGAGCTCCCTTCAGCCAGGTAGCTTTGCTGCTGGTCCTCCTGGCCACCTCCACCCTGGCTGAACCTGCATGCCACCTAGCCAGGTGCAGGGAAGAGGGCAGCATCAGGAGCAGGGCTAGGTAGCAGCATCACTGTCAGCCCTGGATTCTGAAGTTTTTCAAATGTGAGTACTTCTCCGGTTGTGTGAGCCTTTGTTCATTTTCCAGAATGGGGAAATGGTTTGTTTTGTCCATTTTGCCAAATTTCATATATACCTTTCTGGGAGAGGTTTTATTAACACCCTCACCAGGCTGTTGCCAAAAATCTCCTCTAAAACATGTAAAGAATACATGTTGTTATTGTTTCTAATTAAGAGTTTAGCTTTATTTAGGATTCCTACATAATTCCAAGATGAGTGAGCTTGTTGTGGTCTAAATGCCGTTGGCCTGACAGGTGGAAAGTGAGCCTGGGGACAGGAAGACTTGGGTGAGCTTCCTCTCCCAGCTTCTTTCAGTGCAGAAAGCAGTTAGACCACCCTGCACGTCTGTGACTTACAGTGGTGCACAGGGTTGATAAGCGAAGCCTTCCACCCCTGTTCCTCTTCCTACTTATTTTACCTCAAATTCCACTGGGACTGTACCATGTCCCTGAGGTTAACGGGGGGATAGAAGATCCTCAGCCACTCTTTCTCCTATCCAAGTGTGTTCTTGGCTGTAATCCAGGCAGACATTTTCGTAAGAAAAAATAATGTCCCTTGAAAGCAGCAATGGAGGCGGCTGCTTTGAGTGTGAATTGATTACATCCATCAGCTGCTTCCAGAGTCTTTTCGTGGGTGCTTGTTTTGTTCTTTCTCTGATTATGAAAGTAATAATCCTTTTTATAAAACAGTGGAAAGAACAAAAACAAAAACCACCAGTCCTTCAAACTGTTCATCGGTGTCGCTGTTGACACTTTATCTCTTGCTGTGTGTGTATGGCTGTAAGTCCCCATCATTATGCCTGTACTGCCTGTGTTATGTACACCCTGCTTTGCAAATTATGCTCTTAAAACTATAAAAGTACTATCAATTTGTTATAGAAAATTTGGAATATCTAGAAAATATCGAAGCCATGTGGTTCTTTTCTTCTGCCTTTTCTCATTTGTATCTGTGAATATGTATTTTTTAATTTTACCAAATGTTATCTTATGGTATATAAAGTTTTATTTGAATAAAAGTTTTATTAGAAATGAAATAATTAACTCTTCTTCTATTCTCAGACATTTAGCTTTGTTTTCTGATTTTCATAGAGAAAGTCTACAGAATGACCAAGTCTTATTTCCTTGGGGATGGATTCTGAGGAAGGAGTTCCAGAGTGGAATGGCTAGGTCAGATGTGGAAATACCAGGCTCCCCAGACACTGATTGGGAGCTATGGGACAGTAGCTCCAAGCAGCAGCGGGAGGGTGATGGGCTGGCACCATGTCAGCCTTAGGAAGCCCCTGCTGCTTTCGCACTCACCTTTCAGAACAGTTATTCAAAAGGCCTAGATGAAATTCTTTATACCAAAGTTCAGTGTCATTTGCACTTACAAATATATACAAGCTTGTCTGCAAAGAGGTAGAAGAGGAATAGCAAGCAGTACTAATTCTTGGTCTGTATGAATCTTACCAGTGGAAATTCATGGTGACAGATAAGTGCAAGTGATAGATTTTATTATTAAAACTTTGCCCCTTGTAAAAAACCTTTGAAACAGCAATTTGTTAACTTAAATCTCTTGAAGATTAAACGTGTATCTTGCATTTATAGTTTTTTTGCAAATATGGGGCAGACATTTAACCTAGTGGTTAAGGAGCTCACATCCCATTTTGGAGTACCTGGTTTGATTTCTGCCATTGGCTCCTGACCCCATTTTCCTGTTAGCACAGACCCTGGGAGGCAGCAGTGATGGATCAGGTAATTGGGTTCCTGCTACCCATGTGGGAGACCTGGATTAAGTGCCCAGCTCCTGGCTTCTGCCCAGCCCACTCCCAGCTGTTTGACGCATTTGAGGAGTAAACCAGTGGATGAAAGCTCTGTTTTGTCTGTCTGTGTCTCTCTGCCTCTCAAATAAAATTTTTGAAAATGTATGCATAGATAATATAATTTCAACAAGGCAGTTTAATCCTTTAATGGAATGAAATACTTTTTCTCCTTTTCCTTCCCCACCATGTAGGATCTGAAGAAGAAGCTGAAGAAAAACAAGGCAGTGAAAAGCCACTTTTAGAACTATGAGTACTGCTTTTGTTAAAGTAAGTGTTTGAAAATGAACAACAAAGTAGTTAAACATGGAGCATTTCCTTGGAGTAGATTTAAAGTAGAATTCAAAAAGCATGAGTATAAATATACAGTCAGTTTTGTCTTCTATGACTTTAACAGGACCATTGAATTTCATTACAGTAAAATTTCATAACATTTTCTGTACAAGTGTAAATTTGTAAAATTTGAAAAATACCTCAGAGTCCCAGATTTCTAAAGAATGAGAAAATTTATGTTTGTTTACTTGACCAGAATGTCTCTATGGTAGAAACTGTTTTAATTACAAGTAGTAATCTGTTTATTTTATGAGGGTAGCAATCCTGTGAGATGTCGTTCGCACCGGAGGCAGTAGATAGATGAATGACATGTCCAAGGTCTCCCAGCAGGAGTGCAGAGCTGGGCTCAGACCCACCTAGGCTGCTACTGCTCTAGCCCTGCCTGCACTGAGATGCCTCTCAGGTTTTGGAGCTTCTGAGATGGATGCTGCTATACATTCAAGACTGTAATGCTTCAAGGGCTTCATGGTAGAACATATATGTTAAGCCCTCGAAGATTTTCCCATCAAAGAAAGTCATCACAACCTCATAAGTACAAGGCAAATAAAGTAAACTGTATCAGCAGCAACTCTGCCTAATTATTCAGCCACAGAAAATAAAGTAGGTGATGAATTGCGTCATCGTTGGGAAGTCGGGACAGAGTGGCAGAGGCAGCCAGGGTCATGGCAGATGGTGGCAGCAATGCACGTCAGCCCTTCTCTCTACAACGGAAGTGTAGACAAGAGTGGGCATGTGGCTAACTGGTCCTCTTCCAGATGCTTTAAGATGAGTCCATGTGTGCCACAGCCACAGTCCTTTATGCGTCTGTGTCACAGCCCATCTTCAGGACAAGACTGTGTTAGGAGGAGCAGACTGAATGTAGCATTTTGCCTCTTAATGCTACATCTCAACTTGTTTGTCTTCACTCTTTTTGTAAGTGTGAAGAACCCTCCCTGAAAGTCATCCGAGGGAAAAGAGACTGGAGGTGGGTCTCCCTATTGAGAGTGGAAAAGGTGACATCCACCGCTGACTTTACTGAACAGCTAATAAGGAGTTTATTTATTTGTGATACCTCACGGACATTGTACCATACCCACCCACGTTAGTTGCCTGCCTGTGGCCAGTGAGGTCATGTAACGGTCCATTCTCTCTTCAGTGAGACTGAATCTGAGCTGTTAATGAATAATTGAAGAGAAGTCTTGCGCTATATTCCTAATCAAAAGACGTCTTAATATATTGAAATAACACTTTTGTAGTAGGTGAAACGCCTTTTTATTTCAAGTCACAGAATGGAATTTTTTTTGTCTCATGTCTCAGATTTCTTTTGTATTTCTTTTTTAACACCCTGCATTTCCCTTGTGTTTTTTAATTCATGCACATATGCTCTTTGTACAATTTTAAAAAGTAATAAAATCCAACCTATCAAAATGATTTGTTCTGTTTTTCTTGTTTCTTATTCTGTATTTGACCTGTGTTGAAATTATGGAAAGGGAGCATGAGGGATTGTAAATATCATCAGATGTTTTATATTATCTTTGTCATGAAATCCTATCTTTCTCTGAGAGATATGCTTCTGAGATAGTCTGTGTACTTTTATTTTGAACCCAAAAAATGACTAGGAAACCTCTGCTAATATTTTTCCTTCATGTTTAGCTAATTGGAATGAAAATGAACTAAATTTTATCATGAGCTGGTTTTTCAGACATGAATATTCACCTTAGCACCTTGCAGAAAGAATATCTGTTACATTTTTATCTTTGTTCATGGTGTCATTCAAGAAAAGCTTCGTCGTGTTGGTGGCAAGGAATCTGACTTGGGTGGAAACTGGCCCTCTGTGCAGATCCAGTCACCAGGCGTGTACTTGTTCTCAGAGTGGCCCAGGTCTCACGGTCCTGCCTAGGGGCTCACCAGGAGAATCCCCGGGGTCTACTCGTAGTTGACAAGTGGCGAGGAGAATCTCCAGGGTCTGTGCTGTGGACCCCGACCTCAGGAACTCCGTGCGAATTTCCTCTCAGGAGTGGTGGTGGAGGAGCACCAGGCCCACTGGGGAAGTCAAGCAGGAAGTCAGGCTCTCTCTTTGACCTGAGAAGAGCTCCTACCCAGTGGAATGAGGCCAGTCCTTAACAGGAGCGTGACTCGTGTGGTGTGATTGGAATGCACCCTGAGGTCAGATTGCTAAAACCCAAAGCAGTTTCTTCACACTAGGGCTCTACTTCCCACCAGTCCTGAACACAGGAGAGGGACATTGACTTTTATGCTAATACTGCTGAACAGCCACCTCCTAACCAACTCCAGTCACACATTTATCTGATGTTAGTGTCTTCTGCTATTTCTTGCTCGCGTTGACACTTGGCATCATCTTGACCCTGTAGAGAAACATTGTATGATTCTGTGTATGGTGTTCAGTACCCAGCTGAATCCCAGGTTCCTGTTCTCTGTGTTCCCTACCTGTGGACACATCCACAGTCTCCCCCTGCTAATCAATTCATCAGCAGGGGTCTTGTACCACTACTCTGTCTACACTGAGAAAATGAAACAAAACAGCACCAGTGTGTGGAAATTAAACAGCTCAAAAAAGCACAAGCACTTGCAGAATGCTAGGGGTTATCTTAGCACTGCATGCATCGTTCTCTGCTCTTTCCAGGACAGCATCAAGGAGTGAACTGAAGGGGAAGTGTCTAAATCCTGGAGTGGCATCCCAGCTCACACAGTAGCTAACATTGTGTGTCAAGTGCAAGGAGCCCTACCCCCCAGCAGTGTAAGTTTGATAGCAATCTCATGTGTGTGAAAATGGATATTTTCTTTCCATTAGCTGTGGCCTTTTGAAAGTGAGCAAAGTTGGTTGCGGTTTAACTGTCCTTATTTTCTCTTTAAACACCTCAGCCACCCTCGGGCAGCTTCAGCCAGCGGGGACCGCTTTGGCTTTGAGCGTTTTCCTTGAATCAACCACATTTGACAGAGCACATGAACACAAGGAGTCTGAGAAAATAAAACAGCCTCAGCCACAGCGGCACCCTCCCGCCACCCGCTGTGTCACCTCCACCACACCACGCCTCCTCTTCTGCACACAGCCCAGGCTTGGGCAGCCCGTGCGCACTCACGAAGGAAGTTACTGAGGAGGCTGAAACCACAGCAGAGTGGTGTACTTCCCCAGCTGGCGGTAGCAGCCCCCAAAGCTCTTAATGATTTCGGAGTTTCCTGCCTTTGCTTCTGTGCTTTTCAAATGCAGAACGAGTTCCAGATCTCTAGAAGCTAAGAATTTGGAATAAAAAGATCTCTTCAAGTGATGAACTCATGGGGTAGATATGAATTAAACTTTATCTTTCTGGAATTTGCTTGGTCGGACTTCATTTCCAAATAGGAACTTCTAGTTGGTTTCCAAAAGAATCTGTTTCAGTGGATACTAAAACATTATAAACAACCAAAAGAAACCTTCCCATGCTAAATCAGTCATTGTTTTAATTCTGATATATAAAATTTTTACATTAAAATGATTAATTAGGGAGTTAGGGAAATGTGATCCCTGTTAAACATAAGAGTGGGAATAAGAGAGGGAAGAGATGTATAATTTGGGACATGATCAAGCTGACTTGCCCCAAATGGTAGAGTTAGAAACATACCAGGGGATTCCAATTCAGTCCCATCAAGGTGGCTTGTACCAATGCCATCTCACTATTCCAAGTGATCAATTTCAGTTCACAATTGATCATAATGAAAGGACTAAGAGTCAAAGGGAGCACATAAACAAGTCTAGTACCTGCTAACACTAACCGATAGAATAAATAAAGGGGAGAGTGATCCAACATGGGAAGCGAGATACTCAGCAGACTCATAGAATGGCAGATGTCCTAAATAGCACTCTGGCCTCAGAATCAGCCCTAAAGGCATGCGGATCTGGCTGAAAAGCCCATGAGAGTATTTCAGGCATGGAAAGCCAAGACACTCTGGCAAAAAGATCTCTGTGAGTGAGATCTCAGTGGAAAGAACAGGTCTTCAAAGAAGGAGGTACCTTTCTCTGAAGGGAGGAGAGAACCTCCACCTTGACTATGACCTTGTCTAAACAAGATAAGAGTCGGAGAACTCAGAGGGCTTCCATAGCCTTGGAAACTCATGACTGGTGCATAGGGAGATTACTGATGCCATAGACAGGAGTGTCAATTTGTAAAGTCAACAACAGGAGTCACTGTGCACTTACTCCTCATGTAGGATCTCTGTCCTTAATGTGCTGTACATTGAGACTTAATGCTATAACGAGTACTCAAACAGTATATTTCACTTTGTGTTTCTATGGAGGTGCAAACTGTTGAAATCTTTACTTAATGTATACTAAACTGATCGTCTGTAAAAAAAAAAAAAAAAAGAAATTATCAATTCCCAACTTGACTCTCACTGGGATTAAACATGACAATAGGTCTGATCTGATTTCATCATCATTTTAAAAAATCATCTATTATTTTTCACTTTATGTTTCTGTGTGAGAGCAAACTGTTGAAATCCTTACTTAATGTATACTAAGCTGATCTTCTGTATATTAAGATAATTGAAAATGAATCTTGATGTGAATGGAAGGGGAGAGGGAGTGGGAAAGGGGAGGGTTGTGGGTGGGAGGGATGGTATGGGGGGGAAGCCATTGTAATCCATAAGTCGTACTTTGGAAATTTATATTCATTAAATAGAAGTTAAAAAAAAAGAAATACCATAATAATAATAAGCTGCTGATAGTGACAGATTTGAAAATAAGACTAAGACAATTTTAAATGAATAAAAATTACATTTTACCTAAAAAAAAAAAATTAGGGAGTTAGGAAAATATATCATTTTTTCACTTGCCTACAATACATTGGACATTTTGATTTATATGCTTGCCTGCAGAAATACACAAACCCACAACAAATAAGTTTCATATATGTTAGTATTGTTACTCAAGAAAATAATAGTTAAAAAAAAAAGAACTGATATTGCCAGAAAAAAATGCAGACTTTTAACATGAAAAGATGTTTATCTTCGCTCAGGAGGAAGGCAAGTCAAAACCAAAATGGGGGGGGGGGGTAGGCATTTGACATAACAGTTAAGATGCAAATTGGGATACCTACATCCCTATCTGTGTGTCTGGGTTCAAGTCCTGGCTCTGGCTCTGCTCAGATTCCAGCTTCCTGCTAATGTGCTGCTGGGATGCAGTAGGTAATGGCTCAAGTATTTGGGTTCCTGCAACCCATGTGAGAGACTTGGGGTGGGATTCTAGGTCTTAGCTTCCACCCAACCCAACCTAGATGTTGCTGGCACTTGGGGAGTGAACCAGTGGATGGGAGTGGTCATGCACTCTCACTCACTCAAATAAATTATCTGTATAAATTATATAGACATAAATTTTAAAAATAAAACAATGCTGTACTTATATTAGCAAAATTCTGACATTTGACAGCACACTTTGAGCATTCAGAGGCATTGTGGTCAAGAGCAAAATGGGGCTAGTCAGTTGGTAACACCAATGAAAATTCCCAATAAACACATTCAAGATAACAAAACAATTACTTATTTCAGTATATTTCATAGTAGCAAAAGGTTGGAAATAAACCAAGGATCTGTTGCAGACAACTATTGATATAAAGTGTTGTGTGTTCACAAATGAAATACCTTGTAGCTGTTTAAATGTCCCATGTGCTGATATAAATAATCTGAAGACTTGTAAGTGGAAAGAGAAGTACAGAAAAGGATATAGTGTATTCGTGTACTCTTTGTGTGAGAAGGGGAAATAAGAATATCTACACTGCACGTTCTTTCACATTTTGGTTTTTGAACTGTGTAACAATTTAATATTATGCTAAGTATGTTATTTTTAACACCACATACTTAACTATGTTACACTTCTTTAAAGAACCTACATTGGTTTGAGGATGCATTTTTCTCTATCACAAGATATCCTTTATTAATTTCATCCTGGGCATTTGGTGCTGCCATATGTTATGCTATAGTGAATGAACATCCTTCACATAAATTTTAGTAAAGAATTCTTCAAAAAGTTAATGGAAAATATGTATGGATTGTATTTCAAAATACTTTTGCACCAAAATAAACCTACCTTTTAATTCCATTTTCCATAAACTTTTCGAAGTACCTTCATATGTTTTGTTTCCTTTCTAAATCAATGGAGCAAATGGTATAAGAACACTTTTCAGGTGAAACATGTTCCACAGCTGTGTGCTGTGCTCTCTGTAGCTTCTCATAGCCTTTGATCTGAGACAGATGTGCTCAAGTTCAGGGGCTGTTACATTCACTTACTGGCCTCCACTTTGGCTACATATTAAAATGTTAGGTGCCCATACCTGACCTATTATAATGTCTAGACCTCGGTGGTAGCTTTCTAATGTTTATATTTATTTGAAAGAGGAGAGAGAGAGAGACCCTTCATCCACTGATTCTTCCTCCAAATG